GGGGCAATTAGCATGCGCTGTGTTTTCCTGCGGAAAAAGTTTATGGAGAGCAATGACAGTTTTCGCTATGTTTGCGGTATTCCTTCTGTTGAGTATGTCATTGGGTGAACAAATGAATTTCTGAAATGACGTATTAAAACAAAAACGACTTCGATCAATTTATTTGGCTGTATATCGAACTTATACAAGCTTTTCCAGCGAGCTAAAGGAAAGCTTTCAGGAAAACCGACCTCAGAGATACCAAGTTTTCGACAGGATGCAATAAAGCTATCTACGTTACGCTTTGCCTTTGGAGCCGTCAAAGCCTAAAATGATGTTTGATAAACCAATCAATCAAAACTAGTCAACAAAATGATTTACCGCTGTCGATGACGTAAAAAATGAAGGAATTGTTTGAGCACGTAAAGCGTTGACTAAATTGCACAGATGAACTCCATCAGACAGCTCTAGTGCGATATTTTCAAGACTGTCTGAAAGCCTGCAAGGAGAAAAGCACATGATTTGACTTGGGCCTTAATCCAAATCAGTTCACTTCCACGAGAATTGACGAGCGATATACTGAGCGAGCAATGTCTCGAACTTATAAGAGTGAAGTATTAGTAGAAAATATGAAAACAGCGCTAACAATATGTTCCAAAGTAAAACCTTCTCGCAGTCAGTTCCATAATGCACCATTTTATCACTGTTTAGTACCACTGCATAAAATAAAGCTGAACGAGTCAATTTTGGCACAAACTAGTTTTTTTGCCTTTTATTACTAAAAGTCCGTAGCATAGTCACAACAGAAATTACAAAGCCTTGCTTAGAGCAAAGATAGGTACTTGGAAATGTTTTAGATAAATTCAGCTTGGTAAAACAATAGCCTGCAAAAAAGACAATGATTTGTCCTAGGTGTAATTTTCTTTTCCTTGCATTTTTTAGATTGGATCCTACTTCAATGCACCAAAAAGAAAACGAAAATAGAAAGAAAGCATATACTTACGCTATCTGCAATCTTTCAAGAAAGACTCTTTTTATTACATCAGCAGGAGCAGGCTGAACTTCATGTGACTTCGATGCGAAACCATTTCGATTAGAATGCACAACCTAAAAATGTTGCAGTAGGGAACCATAGAGCAAATTTCTAAAGCTGCTTACCGTAACCCTCGTAGCTTTACCCGCTACTGGTTTGATGACAGAATTCTGACGCGTTTGTTCGACCGGTGGTATTGGCTTTTGAATACCTGTTGACGTGTTAGACGTTCGACCTATGTGTGAGGGTAAGCGAGAACCTGAAAGAAACCACACATCAAGTCGCGCAGTGACTGTTTATTTCTGTTCTTCACAGTGTTCAGACTTCAGAAAATATAAACTTCAAATAACAGATGTCTTACAATGTGGGCTAAAGAGATTGCTTAGTTATAAAACATGAGATTTTCAAGAGTACTGAATGTGAAACTCTTGAACACTACGGATGACAGACAAAAAAGTCAAGCTCTTTATCTCTGTTATTTCTTCATCCGTTACATAACTGCTGATTAGTGAAATTGATCAAAAACATCCTCATTCTGCGTACTGATAGCAAAAGCTGCGAATTTAGCGTATAACAAGAAAGACATGAATTGCTGCGATTTCCTAACTGATGATAGAAATAATTTTCTGGTTGAAGCCCGAGACTTACGTTGATTTGAACAGCGGGAAGGGGAATTTGATGTCTTCGCGGCTGAAGTACATCTCACTGCAGAATTCAGAATACGAGAGGTAGAGCTTCGACTTTTTTTCCCAAGTGAGTCAGAAACTGAAGATGTCCATATTTTCGTTTTCGATATCTAAAACGATATTGGATTAAGCTTTTCAGAACATGTGACGTCGAAGATCTATGTAAAGTTAGTTTTAGATAAGCAAGGATACGAATTGGACCAGCCAAGATATATGCCGAAACAAAAAGCATTTTCACAGCGGTCGCAGATTCTCGAGGAAAGCGCTTGAAGATAATCATCAAAAAGGTTCATTATAGCGTTCGTACGGGAAGAATCACGAAATCCTTCCAGAATAGTGGATTACACTGAGGGCTTGCATTAGTCAGTAAAAAGAGAAAAGAATAGAAAGTTTGTCTTGCTGGTATTTACTTGAAATTGATCGATGCTCATTATATAACCATGGGTAAAATCACCTTCGTCGCTTGCGAGTCTGAATTTAGCGTAGGCGGGTGACTTCGACGGGATAGCAAAGTTGCCGGACTTGTGACGGGTTTATTAACAGATGTGGTAGATGAGAGCTCTTCTAAAGCATTTCGATGAGTAACAAAGAACCCGCAACAGATGGTGGAGTACGCTTAAATTAATAAATTAAGTGAGTTTGTGAGGGTGGCCCGTAACGCTTGGACTAAAGATACCATCAAATGAGTGATGTTTGCTTGGCTAGGATTTATTTGCATCTCGTTTGCTTGATTAGAATTACATGCATCCCCTCTTATCTATCTCGTGCACAGTGCTCCCTTAGTAAATCTTTTCCAGATTTCAACTTCGGCATAACTGTTACAGTGACACTTTAGCAGCTGCATGCACAAATAACTTTTCAGCAAGGCTACCTATGCCCTCTAACTATAATAGGCTTTTAGCAGCTGAATCCAGGTAAGCGTCTGCTGCAATGGTTCAATGAAATTTTTTTTTATGAATTGCAAGAACAGATACTTCTATTTGCTAGGCTTTTAAAGAAGTGGGGAGACACAATCGTAACCTAATGATCCCTGACAATACGGATGACAATTAGTTCGCGGTAAGAGGTGGCGCAAGTCCTAAGGAGGAGATTTATTCGAAGCATTTTCAAAATTAGCTTATTTACAAGTAGCGCAGAGCACTTTAAAGCCTACAATTTAG